TTTCTCTGGAGAAAAGAAAGAGGGGATAGAGAGCGCTTGTCCTGCACTTCGGGTCGGAAGTGCGCGCTGTGTGTGTGTGTGTGTGTGTGTGTGTGTGCAGGGGCGGGAAAGAAAAGCACCCTCCTTGCTGCCCGTCATCCCCTCGCCCTGGCCAAGTCCTCGCAGAGCCTCCCGGTGCATCCTTCCTCCGCCGCCCCCTCCCCTTCTCCTCTCCGCTGGGCTCGCGCGGCGCAGCCGGAGCAGCCAGTGAGAGCAACATCCTGGAAAGAGGGGGGTGGGAGGGGAGCACCACCACCCCCCAAAAGGGGGGAAAAAGGCCCCACCCTGACACGTTTTGCTGTTTGCAAGTCCCTCGCACCCCGCGCCACCCCCGCACCTCCTCCTCCCGCTCACGGCCCCCCCAGCCCGCCGCGCTCACATCAAAGCTGCTCTCCGCCCGCCGCGCGCAGTGGCCGCGGCTCCCTAATGGGATTGCAGGCTGGTGCCTGGCTCCGCTGCTGCCGCCGCCGCCGGAGCCCCAGCCCGAGCCCCCGCCAGCCCGAGCCCAGAGCCGCCGCGCCCCGGGGCCGGAGCCGCGGCGATGATCCGAATCTTCCCGGATTTCAGCGTGCAGGTGACGGCCGCGGCGGCTGGCGGAGCGGCCGCGGGGGTGCCGGCCGGCGCCGGCGGCATGGGGAGGGCCAGCGCCGCGGCCAACGGCGCCCCGCAGAACGTCCAGGGCATCACCTCCTACCAGCAGCGGTGAGTAGTCCCGCCCGGGCTGGGAGCGTGCCCCCGCCCCGGGGTGCTGGGGTGGGACTCACTTTGCCTCCTGTTTTATGTTGTTCCAACACACACATGCACATCGCTGGAGCTCACTTTGGCTTGCCCCTCGTTCTACGGATGAGAAAGAAGGAAAGAAAAATAATAAGAATGCACAATTCGGATCGAAAGGCACTCCGAGGCGCTGACAGAGTGAAATCAGCTTTTGCCCTCAGCGTGGCCCCAAACCCAGAGCCCCGGTTGGTCCCGCTAGCCAAAGAGTTGCAGAGAAGTCTGAGACGCGGCACAAGGTGCTTCAGCAAAGTTTGGGTCCCAGCCCCTTTCCGCCGCCTTCTCTCAATGCCTCTGCCGGGTGCCGGCTCTTGCTGATGCGCAAGCCAGGGCGGCAATTGATCACCGGGGGCTGATTGATCATTTGTTTCCAAACAGAATTGGAACGATTTTTACGTGTAGCTGTAGACTCGCAGTTTTACATAATAGTGTTATCGTGTCACCTGTTACTACAGGGAAATACAGCATGAAATCCGAGTCTCCTCGCTGCTGCTAAGTATTCATCTTCAACGCATTATAATGCAAATGCCTAGGATTCTGAGATGCGAGCGAGCGAGCACATTTTACAAAGTTAGTCTAAATGGTGAGACAGGAGCAAGTTTTAAAGTATGACTTGTTTGCATTTCTCCCAAATATGTATACATTTAAACAAAAAAAGGACAGTGACGTCGAAATAGTAAACGTTCTTTGAATCAGTTAGGAAAGAAAGGGGGGGGAATTACCACCACCAATGCCCCACAACCCTAAGTTTTTCCTTAAGGACAACTTGTGATGTCTGTCCCAAGATTTTATCGAAAATGTAATCCACAAAAATGCGCTGAGGGAAACTAACAATGTAGTGGGAAAGGTAAGCCCCCCTCCCTCCCATTTGTGGGGCTCAGTTTTTTTAGATGGAGAGATAAAAAAAGAACACATGAAAATATGAAATTAAATATTTGTGTTTCCCAGATTGCACACGATTAAACATCTGAGAGATTTGCCAATGGCATTTAACTTAAAATATACACAATGCATAATTCAAACAACAGTTCCTATTTTTACCTTGTATTTCAAACTTCATTGATTTGAGAACCTTTGATTTGAACCAACAGTGTTTAAACTGAAAAGGTTAAGATAATCTATCACTGCCATATTTTGTGCCTTCTAACCAATGGCTCAGCGACCAGAGCAGATTTTGCATAACACACTGAGTGTTTTCCAAGTTGATGCCCAGTGCTGCAAACATTCTGTGGAAGACTTCATTATATGCTTTGAGTAGGGTTGGAAGTTTGCAAAAAAAAAAAAAAAAAAAAAAGTCTTGAAAATAACTCAAGAAGAGGCTGTTCCTTGTCACAGAGAATTTTTTGTTGTTATTGTTTAAGTTATTCCAGTCTTGTTTTACTTCAGTGATTACAAGAACCTTTAATACAAAAGATCTGGGAATCTTTCAAACATAAAGGACTTAGAAAAGAATTAGGTTTAGAAAAGAATGAGATTTTTTTTCATGGTTCAGGTATGGTTTTTTTGTCACTTATAAAACATTTAAATGACAATAGACTCAGGCGGTCACTTTAACCAGGAAGTGGAAGCAATAGTCACAATAGTATGGTCTGTGGAGTAGGGATCAAGGGTCAGAGATGTCAGAGAGCTTTTGGACCTTTTCAGGGAATTCCGGGCAATTTCAGCCAGCCCATAAAATACAAGCTGGGCATAGAGGGAAATCATGGATTCAGCCTGTACATTTGTCCTCAGAGTGGTGGCATCTTTCACCAAGAAGACATTCCCATGTTCAATTTTCCTGAAAATCAGGGGCATCCAGAGGTAACTCACCACAGTCCCCCACTCCAACGCTGAAAGCTCAGTGATGCCTTCCACAGTCATCTTTGAAATCGGGCCACTTCATCAAGTCACATAATCCCAACACTTGTTCTAAAAACTAAAGCTCTGGAAAAAAAAAAAATCCACTCTAAAATTTAGCCCTTGGGGTGTATTCTTCCCTTCCTCTCTTTTTATGCCCTGTCCTATTGGCAGACCAGAAGGTGTTAGCTGTGAAAAAATGTAGCCTTCTTTGGCTTCTTTTCTCCAGCGTGATGACACCTGTTACTCCTTTGAGTTTCAGTTAATTTGGAGATGGGAGAGTGAGTCATGTGAGCAGGATTACTGGCAGGTGTTTAAGGAGGGTCTGAGTCAGGAGTTAAATCCCCTGCCCTCTGGCACTTCATCAGGAATGCAGGCCAGGGCACCTTAGGCTTTGGGGGTTAGGAGGGACAGATTTAGTTTCCACCTCAAGACCTGGGTATGATCTCTAAAGGGAAAAAAAAAAAAAAGGCTTTTCATTAAAATCTTTTGGGGAATCTGATGAGGGATTGACTTGGGCGGTGGTGATGTGGGTGTGGAGGGGTTCATGCAAAACGTAGCCTGTTGGGAGAACACAGGCTTTTCTCATTTGTCATCTCTGGGCAGAAACACCCTAGGCTGGCTGCCCTGGAGTTGTCCAACTGGCAACTTTCCCTCTTCTCTCCCAGCCCCATACATCTTGGACTCAACCCTCTTAAATTCACTTTTCAATCACTCTCATCTTCTCCTACCTGTCGAGCATAATCCAAAGAGAATTCAAACACCATCCTGCAGATTAAACACCTCTGCTATGAAAAACACATGTTTTCAGTTCCCAGCTCTGAGCCTCACTTTCCTGGAGTAGAAGGGTAGGGCTGGATGGGACCCCTCTGCAGGGCGGCTTTTTTCTTACAGTGCAAAGCTTCCCTCAGGACTGTTTTCCTCCTGGCTTTTCTCTTTATTCAAGTGCTTTGGGAGTCCCTTCCACTTTCCCCGCTTGACACATGACTGACTCAAGCCTCTGCCCAAAAAGCTGCCCACACCCAGCAGAGTGCTTGAGTGGAGAGAGCGCTCTGAGCAGCGTCTACCCAGGTAACAGGATCCCAGCACTGGCCCTGCACCCAGTCCAGAGCTTTCCTTAGGCCTCGCTGGGCTGCAAAACAGGGAAGGCAGCTAGGCTAGACAGAACCAGAGGCCCTTAGTTGGGTCCGGTCCTATGCCAGGTGCCAGGAGCCCAGCCATGTGCGACCTTTGTGCACAACTGCGTTTAAAGTCCTGGGGAGTCACCTGTGAACCCTGGGGTCTGCAAATGTGTATGTGCGCGAGTAATGCAGCCGCTCGGAGCCGGGGGAACCAGGCTGAGAGCACTGGGATCACTAGGTGCCTGTGTTGCCGGCGGGCCCGTCCCGCGGGCTGGGCCAGCGCGCTCCCCACGGATGGGTTCCCTCTGCCCCCGAGCTGCGCGCGGGACGGTGTCCAGCCCCCGCGGCCTCCGGGCTCCCCCGTGCCTTCCCGCGGGCTGTGATCCTCCGGAGAAGGGAAGTGTTCAAAACTGCAACTGAGTGGCGTTGTTGCGCCAGCAGCCGAGCATCCCAGTCCCCCAAGGAAAGAGAGGGGGAGAAGGAGAGAGGGAGGGGGGAGGGGGAGAGAGAAGGGGTGCAGGGGTGTGTGTGTGCCTGCGAGGGAGCACTTTGGAGCAAAGTAGCTGGAAAATGCCCCGAAATACTTTCGCTGCGGTCAAGCGGGGAAGCCCCCGGGAGTCCTCCTCCTCCCCCCTACCACCCCCCCCCTGCTGCTCCTCCGGGCCTCGGCCCTGCCCGCCCCCCGCGGGGAGGGAGGGTGCGCGCCCACCTGCCGCCCGCGGCTCCGGGGGCGGCGGAGGGGGTGTGGCGGCGCGCGCGGGGCGAACCCGGAGGCGGCGGGGCCCGGTGCCCGGTGCCCGCGGGCCGTGCGGCGGCCTCCCCCCGCCGTCGCCGCCTCCCCCTCCTCCCGCCGCCGGTCGCCCGTCTCCGCCGGGCATGTCTCGGGAGCCGGGGCGGCCCGGGCCGCGGGGGCTCTGCGGCGCATGGACGGCGGCGGCGCCCGGCGAGCAGGGGGAGGAGGAGGCGCGGGCGGCGGAGGAGGCGGCGACCTGCAGCGAGAGGCACCGGCGGCGCGAGGGCCCGGCCGGCCGGCGGCGAGGCTCCGGCCCCGCTACTTCTCCGTAGCCTCCCGCCCGCAGCGCGGCCCCGGCCCCGGCCCCGGCCCCGGCCACGCCGCTGCCCGCCGGGCCCGCCGCGCCGCGCACTCACCCGCCGGCCCCCGCACACGCACACCCCCACCGGGGAGGGGGGAGAGGCAAAAAGTAAGAGAGGAAAAAAAATAGCAGGAAGATGGCGCCCACCAAGCCCAGCTTTCAGCAGGATCCTTCCAGGCGAGAACGGTAACACTTTTCTGTTTATTGAACCTGCCGCCGCCGGGGCCCGGCTCCCCGCCCGCCCGCCCGCCCGCCTCCCGGGCCGCTGCCCGCGGTTCCCGGCCGCCGCCTCCCGCTCCCCGCATTGTCCCCCCGCGGCGACCGCGCCGGGCTGCCGAGCAGCCGCACCAGCTGGGCTCAGCGAATAGAGTGATCGCTGCCAGCGGAGAGAGGAGAAAAAAAAGGAAGGAAAAAATAAAAAAGAAAAGAGGAAAAAAGAAAGAAAAGAAAAACAAACACAAAAGAGAAGGGGCTGCTGGAGAGGGGAGCAGAGGGAGGCGGGGGCCGGTATCCCCGGGGCGCCGCGGTCCCCTGGCAGCTGCTCTCGAGGAAGGAATGGGCTGGGGAGGGGAGGACGGCGGCGGGAGGAGGGGGAGGCGGGGAGGAGGGGAGGCGGCCGGGGGCGGGAGCGAGCTCGCGCCGGGCCGGGCTGAGCGGAGCGGCCGTGTCCGAGGCGCCGCTAGGCCGGGCGCGGAGCGGAGCGCAACGGGCGCGGGGCCGCCGCCGGCTCCCGCCCCGGCTGTGTCCTCAGCCCCGGCAACTTGTGGGTCTCGAGCTTTGCCCTCTGCTCGCCTTTTCCTCCTCCTCTCCATCCCCCAACCTCCGCAGAAAAAGAGAAAAAAAAAATCAGGGAAACCCCAAATTTCCAATGAGCAGCCACACAGCGTGCTGTGAGATGTGCCAACAGTTGGAGCATCTTCTGCCCCGTTAGGTCCTGCGCTGGGACCTGTGCTACAGAAAGTTCCTGGTGAGAATTGCATATCAAGGCAGGGGCTCAGCAGAGCGTGTCCATTTGAAGTTAGTTAAACTGAAGCCAAAGGAATTTGTATTCAAATATCCTTCATCGTCCTTCCTACGTGGATGGCATTGTTAGGTTTCCGAGTAACTAACCCCCCAGTGGTGTTCCCTCCTGCTGTCCACACAGCCTACCTTGTTTGGTATCTCTTTTTTTCCTCTATTAATTAGCAGTGTCAATGACATTAATTGCATAGAGCATATTTGTTTGAGCAAAGTGAATATCTCTGTCTCTGAAGAGGAAATGCTCCATGGGAAATAGGAAATGTGACCCATTGATTCACGAGGAAAACAAATAGAGTTAGCTATAGGCCCCCCCGCCCTCCCTTCAGTCCCCAGCAGAGATGTTTACTTTCTTCAAATGTCTAACTGAACTTGAAGAGGAGGGAAGTCCTTAGCTGCAAATTGTAATTGTTATTATATGGAACGGTTTAATTTTTGATACAACATAGCATTTAACCTATAGCTTATATATCCAGAGAAAGCAGAGAGGTATTTAAAGAAGCTATTCATTTAAAAAGCTTCAGTTGCGTTGTTGCTTGTTGCCTTCATACAATAAGGATTTCAGGATTAATTTTGTTAAGTAGACACATACTAATTCTAAACTCTAGGTAATTTCTATATAAGCCATATTCCTGAGAGTAAATCAGTTCTTAGAGATGTTAAATGTGTATAGAATTTACTATCTGATAACTCATATAGCTAACATAAATATTTAGTATTTATTGTTTTATGAAAAATTCACACATTAACTATTTTACTTTTTTTAGATAGAAATAAATTGTCAACATAGTGATGAGCACTTGAAATCAGAAGATTATAATTTCCCTCCTCCCCCCTCCCCTTCCCAGGTTCTGTGGGGTAGTAAATGTATTTACTGGGATGGCCCCAGTAATCTCTCTAGCAGAGGCCTATTTGTGTGCCATTTTGGGAATTTCTCTGAGATAGGAATCTTGAAGATAGAATTAATTTGTGCAGGAAACTTCACAGCCTGTGCATGAGCGCTTTCTTTATCACCTGTCTCCATTTGGCATTCGAAGAAGGTAAATCAAAGTGCGCGATTTGTTATTTTGCTCCACTTGAGAGCTGAACTAAATAACACTTGGTCTGAAATTCTGATTGAAGTTGTAGGAGGATATACTGTATTTAATTTAATGCCCTTTAATAGCATCTGCTTGTTCAGCTCGGATGCTGTCGTTTTAAAGGTTTAACCTGTAGGGAGAGGGAGGAGTAATGAGGAGGTAGGGGCCAGAGGAGCGATGGAGGAGTTATAAACCAAATGTTTCAAACAATGAGAACTACAGACTTGTCTTTGGTATCCAAATAGTTGTTTTATACACTGAGGGTTAACTTGGTTTTCAGGGTTTTAAGTGCCCTGAACACTTTAAGTGTAAACATTACACATGCCAGGTGTTTTGGTTTTGTAATGAGAAATGGGAAGTAGGCTGGTTTGTTCAGGAGGGGGCTGTCATAGTTACTTGCTAAGTAGAGTCATTTCACCTTGCTGTTCACTTTGTGCCTGGAACTTATCGGTTAGTAGTATTATTTCTTAGTAATGGCTGAACACAAGTAGATTTATAAAAGGTGACTTTCTGTGGACGTGTTTTAAAACTGTGATTTTCAGGCTATTTCTTCTCATGGCACACATTAACTAATTATTAAAATTCCAAGACATGTTAAATATATATATTTTTTGCTGCTCTAACAATAAAATTGATTCATTCACATCAGTCAGCTATTGTTGTGTTGACTGTTGTCATTTTTTAATTTGACAACCTAAGGGAAAAGAGGTCAGTGCCCCTGACTAAACAGTCAGGTAGTGCATGTTTCAAAAAAGTCTTGTGGCACACCCATGTGCCATGGCACACCTGTTGAAAATGCTCCTTTAAGTGATATCCTTTCAATTAATTTCAAATAATTAACATCATAATGACATTTATTGACACGATTCTTTACTGCTTTTCAAATACATCAGTAATCAAAAACATATAGAAAAAGTATCTTTTGAGTCATCCTTTTGCCTATCTATGAAATATTTGACCTGAATATAATAGTAAAGTAAAATTTCATTTCCTTCTAATTTTGTTTACAGAGTAGGTTTTGAAAAAACAATGTGTTTCTTGATAATGTCTTTGGTTACTACTTAGTATCCCTTAAATTTCTCTGATTCATACACAGAGAAAATGCCTCTTTAGAGCCTCAAAAATATAAGTTGAAAACCTTATATATTTAAACTCGTTTGATTTTTCTTTAAACTCCAGTAGGCTGCAAATTATGTAGCATGACCACAGAGTTTTTCCACTATGTGGATGTATAACCAGAGAAATTAGACTGACAGAAGTGTCAAGCACGTGACATGCTCATGCTGGTTTGCAAAGCACATTCCTATAGTCTGGGGCTTTTGGCTCAAAAAGTAAAGGTGGTGGCAGTGACTTTTGGGGAGGCATTTCTTGCTACAGTGTAAGCTTAAACGCAGAGTGATAAATGATGATATGCATTGTCTAACACTTGCTTATATATAAATAGCTCCACAAGATTGCTTAAATGATAATCGAAAATATGAAATAGGATGGCCTTCATATCACAAGGCCAAGGGTCTACAAATGGAAAAACTGAAATAATGAAATATTTCCAAGGCAACAGACTGTCAACAAGAACTGTAATGCATGGGCATATCATAGAACCACCCGAGAGGATATTAGATCGTATAACTCCAGGGCCAGGAGTGATAATGACCTTTATTATGTAGCACCCTCCCACATTACAGCATCCTTCCATGTCCCCACTTTCCAATTTCTGAATGGAGAGACCCATAGCTACTCCAGATCTGTAACATGCCAATTATTAGGCTTGATTTGTTACAATGAGCAAACTTGAATATAATGTTATTTGATGCTTTTTTTTTTTTTTTTTTGTGGAAAAAAAGTTGCCTGTAAAATTTTGGTTCCCCTCTCTTCACATTTTTGGAAATATGACTTTTATATTTACTTAAAGGTAGGTGAAAATAATCTTTCAGCAATGAATTGATAAGAATTACATTGCAGGTTATATAGGATCTACAGACTGGAACAGCTTGATATTATTAGTTATATGAAGTCTTATTTTCCCTGAAATTCTTCTACTTGATGGTTGCCTTTACAATAGAGCTATTTTATAGGAAAGCCAGAATTTTCATGAACTCCTCACCTCTTTTGCTCTGTCTCAGATCTTAGTTTGCAATCCACCTGCTTGTTCAAATTGTATATGTTTAAAATAGGAACTGAACTTCAGAATCTCCTGCTCAATGGTGAAGTTTTCTAGAATAACTGTGTGTGTGTGTGTGTGTATGTATAGGTTTGTATTTATATGTATATACATGCTTTTGTAAAGCAGCACTGTGTGTGTATAGGTATGCATTTACATGTATATACATGCTTTTGTAAAGCAGCAATGTGTGTATGTATAGGTATGTATTTACATGTATATATGGTACATGCTTTTGTAAAGCAGCACTGTGTGTGTGTGTGTAGGCAGTGCAGCTTTTATTTAGTTCTTTTTTAAGCTGTAGCGCTTTATATTTGGTGGGATATTTGTGGAGCATATGTCATGAAGATTAGTAACAATGACCCCAAGGTAAACCTCAGTCTATTTATGTTTTCTTTTCCCCCCTGCAATTCTTGTGATCCCTTTTCCTATGGAGAATGCCATCTCTAAATTTAAAGAGAATTCGGCACGTGAGAGAGGACGCAGCCTCTCCCTGTGGGGGAAACATGGCCGCTCATTCTACATTGTAGCATTTCATACTTGAAATAATTAAAAAAAATAATTTTTTTTTGCATTGCCATTGGCTTAGAATCTAACTTCAGGTGTTGCTAGTGTGTTGAAAATTTTAGTTGATTAAAATACTGATTTTAAAATTTAAATGCTATCAAAGTTGCACAAAACAGAATGTGCAAAACTTTAAATATTTGAATCTGTGTTATGATTAAATAAGGACTACCAACATTTATGGGATAATATGTTTATGTTTGCTTTGCATTGAATGATGTTAGTATTTTCATAGTAAATAGTGCCCAGCCTCCCCTCCCCTGTCCCCTTATTGGACATTGTAATAAACCAACTGTAACCAAATGGTATTTTTCCAGTGCTGGGCCCCATTAGTGTGAATAGGTAGGATGTTTGCACTATTAAGT